GTTCACCTGGGTACCTGGGCAGGAAAACCCCCAAAGGGCTGAACTTTCTTCTAGGAACCTCTCACAAGAGAATCCTGTCCTCAAGCGGTTTAACCTGGACCACTGTTGGTGGTAAGCCAACAGAGAGACGAGCTATGGGAGAAAACACACACTATTACACAGGGAAAGTGCTGATCATTCAGGGTCTCATTTCTCCCTGCAAGTCAGCACGCAGCTGGTGCCCACAGACAGTGCGGAGGGGTAGCACCGTCTGACCCGCTCCTGGGAGACGTGACAGAACCTGCTGTTAGCGAAGATCTCCCAGTAGACCAGGGTGTGGAGGACCCAGGTCCTGGGTATCCTGACAGATCCACTCACAGATTTCTGACTACAAGGGGTGATGGCTCACCCTGCAGTTCACACACATCTCCTAGAAATACACGCAATCATCAGTGCGTTGGCAAACTGGACTGGGCCAATCTAACATCTCATCACCACTGAAAATGGTGTTTGCGCACTCTCTGGTCACAGCCACACCAGGTCTGCAGCTTCTCATGAGCCATTCAGCTTCCTAAGCCAGTAGGAGACCAAAGCAACAAGAAGCGAATCGCTTTGGCTATAGAGTGATCAGACAGCAGGCCTGATGCAAAATTGGGGACGCAGCCAGCAGCCGGACTAGTCCTTGTGAGGACAGAGAATGCTTGACTGGCTGAGCCACCCTGCTTGAGGTCCTCTCTGCGGATGGAAACACCAGCTAAATACACCGCATTACCCTGGCCCACTGATGTCCAGAAAGCTTTCTGTAGTCGAATCCAAGTCCAGGTCACCCTGGAGCTGGGTGAACATCACAAAAGTTTCATGCTCGCTTTGACTTGGATTTCAGTTTTTAGACACATTTTCTCCAGGTTCAACCCTTTCGCTTTTGCATTTCTTTCTGCGAGCGTTGCGGGGAGGTGCCTACACAGGGGAGTGGGGATTATGAGGGCACAGAGGCGAATCCTGGAAGGAGGGAAGTTTGGGACTGGCATGGAAAAGCCCATCACGATCCTCACGCAGTCAGCTGCCGGCACCAGCTGGCACAGGCATACGGACTGATCCTACAGGAGATCCTACAGGACGTGTGCTGCAGCTGAACATATTAATAAGTACACAACTTTGCATCGTGCACAGGCATATGGACTGTAGGACTGCTGCAGCTGAACATATTAATAAGTACACAACTTTGCATCGTTAGCACACCATTACTGTTCTCCAGTAAATTTTCCCTACTTGGAAAACTCAGTTCCTTGTGCAGGCACAGGGAGCCTTGTTAACTTTTAATTGATTAATTAGCACAAGTAAGATAAGGACAGTGGAGCAGCAGGCATTGCCAGGAGAGATAAACAGCCGCCTGCAGCCCAGAACTTGTCCAGCTTCGCTCTTGTTAGCCCTGAGCAAAGGTCAGTCAAACAAACAGGGAG